TCCTGTGATGGACTACAACCTCAATACAAACTAGTAGTCCCATCACTGGAGCCATTTTTTAAACTTTATTTTATTGTTTATCTGATTAATCGAACTTAATCGGCTAATCGATTTTGAAAATAATCGTTAGCTGCAGCTCTACACTGTTCCACACCTAGGCGTATCGAATATGCGCGTTTGTTGTGCGTCTTGTGGCGCACGTTTTTACCGCGATTCACGGTTAAAAAAAAACGTGACAAACGCGCGTTTGCGAAGGCTACTTGGCTGTATCCCAATGGAAACGCGCAGCAAAGAAGCTCGTGTACCTTTTTTCAGGCGTAGGCCGTTTTGTAGCGCGTTCAGACGGGCTGAAATACGGCAAGGTGTGAACCAGACCCATAGAAAACAATGGGATTTTCATGTTTGAGCGTTTTTAGAGCATTGAACGTGCTACAAAACGTACAGGTGTGAACCAGGCCTTAAGGAGGACCTGATCTCGGTTATAACCCACCGTCTGTTTTCAGCTTAGAACTTTAAAATCGATCTTATCGCAGAGAAATAATTCCAGAGAAATTGGATTGCAGAACTAAGAATTCTTTTTCTTTTCAGTCTTCTGATGATTGGAGCGGTGCATGGTTTCCTGAAGCTCATTTTATTACTTGTATGTGTAACTACGTCATTTGCGTTGCAGCTTACCGGACCTTCGATGTGGTGGCTCCATTAGTTCTTTTTCGTATTTTTTTTTGTGTGCACCTGATGATCCTGCAAATAACACACTTCCTGTCTGTTCATTTCTCCATTGTATCCAGCTTGTGCATCAACCATTGAGCCATGGATGTCCCACAAGCTGGAATTCATGCATGACTGCCTTTTGTCCATCTCCATTACACGGTAGATGAGACCTTGTTTACGCCATGAAGATTTTTGGGGGTGGAAGGGGGGGCCCCCCATTAGGTTGTTGAGGCAAATTAAAAATAGAACATCTGAAGACGATGCAGTACTGTATCATTAAGGGTTGGAGTGGTTGCAGTTGACTAATCCCCTACAGTGCCAGGATTATACTAGAGAACCTCAAAAATTAAGCGCCAGCTGTCAATTTTAAGCATCGGTGACCCGGCTTCTGGGATTTGTCCAGCCCTGCTTTCTGGGTTTGCCATAGTCCATTGGGGCACTGTCATTCTGGAACAGGAAAAGACCTTCCCCAGGATGTTGCTCACAATTGTCTAAAATGTCTTTGAATGCTGTAGCATTGACCGTACCCTTCACTGGGGACACCTGAACTCGGTTTTGGAGGGGTAGCCATACTTTTGGTCATATGGTGTATAACTAAAACCCAACAATTAAAGTATTTACCACTTTGTAACCGTTTTATTTGATTAGAGCAAACAATACTTGATCGCGTCACAAAAAGAGTATACCAAGAGTTTGGGATTTAAAAAAGATATATATATATTAGGGCTGTGCAAGTTAACGATTAATTTCTCGATTAATCGTTAATCTTTTTGATCGATTACATTTTTTTTGAAGCTTTCTACAAGAGTGCCAGCCAAGGCATTGACCTATACACAGACAGCACAGCAATGAAGTAATAAAATGAACTAGGATCACACTAATCCAGCACGTTATTATTCTGAGTTGCCCCACTCAAGCGGTGGCCATATTGAGTGGGGCACGTGAGATTGATAACGTGCCGGATTAGTGTGATCCTAGTTCATTATATTACTTCATTGCTGTGCTGTATGTCTTCTATAGGCCAATGTTGTTGGATCTGTATGTGCGTTATAATTAATCCAAATTAATCGATTAAAAAAAATTCGATTTTAAATCATTACCAGATATATACATACACATACTCACATACTCACAAAATGTATATTGTAGCTTTGTTCTGAGAGTCCCTCCTTGTCTCCATACTTGTTGCTGCTGGTCAGCTTGCTGTGTGTGGGAGGGAGCCCATTGCTGCCACAGGCTGGTTGGGTTGCAGTGTAAGCTGAGAGTTGTATGACCTGGCGGGGGATCAGCGCTGCAGGCAGACACTTGTTGTCTAGGGAGTGTGAATTAAAAAGGGGAAAAAGAAAACTGGATTGTTCTGTTTAAAAAAATTTTTTATCCTCCTTTCAAAAGCTCTTATTGTTCAGTGAAGAAAGTGCTCACGTCTCACATTCTCCGGTAGCTTGGCACACACTTGTTGACCAAACAGGGTCATGAAAAGTCCTTGTGCTTTCTTTGCTCCCGGTGGGTGAGTGCAGCATCTTGCATGTACTTAAAGCCCAACTCTGGCCAGACGATGATGTACAGATGTATATCAACGGTTTACCTGCCCACGTTCTCTGTATACGCTTTTTATTTACAAATCCTCTCCGTCCTCGATGGTGGTGACAACATTGTTCATAAATCCATGAATATTCTCTTGCCATCTCCAGATTGCTCACTGGGCAATTTAAGTATTCTGACTCCGATTTGTTGTGCTAGTGACTTATCCCTTGCTGAGACCTCTATGCCTGGCCTGCATAAGCAGAGTCAATCACTGAGGACAATCCTTGTTAGATAGCTGAGCTCACCAATACCGTTTCATCCACAAGGGTTTTATTCTGAACATCAGGGTTACAACAGATGACAGGAAACAGCAGAATGAATGGTTTCAGTAAAATGCAGTCAAAAGATAACTTCGTAGCGTGTGGAATACATGTGTCCCTTGTTACATGTGGCCTGTAGCTGCATCCATGACACAAGAAGTACTGACCAGGAAGAGGGTTGGGGCATTATATACAAAGGGGAAATATGTCATAGACATCAGGAAAGGAACATAAAATACATGTGCATTACCACAAAGAGTCAGTAGATGGCAGCATGTGAACTAATATATAAAACGTCCATAGGAAAATGGTACAAAGAAAACTATATCAATTCTCATCTACACTAATGTAAATATTAACTGAGGCTATGCATCTCAAATTCTATGCCCCATTGGGTTGGCACATGAAGCTTAACTCTAGGATAAGCAAATATTGTCCTCCAAGAGCCATGTGTATTCTTCCTTGAACCTTGGTATGATTTGTGTATTCCAGATCTGTGCAGTAATCCAGTGTGTGAGACTTGGCGCTTCCTCTAAAGACCACTCACTGCTGCTCTCATTGTGCAGGGTGACTGGTCTTGTCTCCGCCCCCAGCTGTAATAGACCGGTCACTGCCTCTCTCCCTCTCCAGGGTGACTGGTCTGGTCTCTGCCTCCTTCCTGTTATCTCTCCTTGTGCAGGCTGTCTGGTCTCCGCCCCCTCCTGTTATCTCTCCTTGTGCAGGCTGTCTGGTCTCCGCCCCCTCCTGTTATCTCTCCTTGTGCAGGCTGTCTGGTCTCCGCCCCCTCCTGTTATCTCTCCTTGTGCAGGCTGTCTGGTCTCCGCCCCCTCCTGTTATCTCTCCTTGTGCAGGCTGTCTGGTCTCTGCCCCCTCCTGTAAAAAAGGGAGGGGGGCTTGGCTTGCTTTACAAGTTGGAATTGAAAGGGGGGGTGTCATATTTTGCCATGAGTGGTGATTTTAACATTGCATTAGAGAGCCCCTACCCCTGGCTGTCTAAACATATACCTTTCCAGTGCCAAGTGCATGAAATGTTTTGTGATTAAGTGTTGTCCACAAAAAAATGGCTAGAAAATGTGTATTTGGCCTAGAGAGTCTGAGATGGAATATCAAATTCACTGGAGAATTATAAACTGTACAAACTTTCCATGTAATCGCATCCACCCCGTATTGATCGTCTGGCTTCTAAGGATATGGCCCTCATTCCCTTTTAATCAAGTAATCCCTTTTAAAGGTCACTGAACAACCTCGAGCCGGCCCTTGAAGCCATTCCGAGCCTTAATGTGCACAAATCCTAGTGGTTTTCTGTCTGTAAGCGCAGCAAATCCTCCAACTGTAATTTTAGTCCACCCTCCCACACCTTAATCATTCTTCGTTTCTCAAGGTCTCAGCTGCTATGTCATGGTTCTCTGAATGGAAAAGTACTACTGAGTTTTAAAGTGTATGTACAGCCAACTCTGTTTTTTGGGCAGAAGTTACATTGTGGATATTTCCCTTCTCTTCTGTCCTGGAGCTGCAAGAGAAAATATATCTAAGGGATGCTGATTGGACTCTTGCATCCCGTTATGGTTACTAGGCATGAGTTCAGGTTTGGGCCGAAACCAGGAGGCTGCAAGTGTGGAATTTCCTACCTACAGCTCGACGTAAGCAAAGGGGAAGGATGGCGACATCATTGACCTTTTTTTAATATGGCTTCATGCCTAGATTTGGTATTTACCAACTATGGCCATATAAGCTAAGTGGCATCAGCACAAGCATCCCGAGTTCAGTCCAAACTTGAGCTTTCATGCTTTTTTGGCTTGGATGCACATTAAAGAGGAACATCGCCCCGATCCTGAAAAATAAAGTGAATACATGCAAATTTTAAAAACCACCTTTCTAAAGTGCCTCTTCTGTCCCTCACAGCCATCTTCATGAAGGGGCACCTGCCTTCTGTTCTAAATGCTTTCTTGTTGCCTTGTCTTCGTAGTGCATGGGCACCCAGCTTAAATTTAAAGCTTCTGTCTGTCTTGTCGAGGCCAGAATGGCACCTCTTCATCGAAGGTCTAGTTGTAGAAAGTTACAGATACAGATCTCTGCAAATATTTCCCCATTACCTTGGAGGGGAGAAACTGGTACATAAATGAAGCCAGCTACATTATGATTCTGGGCATTGTTTATTTGTCAGCATTGTTCTTGTGTCTTCAGGGAGAATGGTGTACCTAAAATGACAGACCCCCCCCACCCACCCACTACACCAAATACTCAAATGGTAGAAAAGCCTCTGTCATTGGCCTTTTTCTGGTTTTGAAAGATCCGGCGTACAAAGTGGAACTGTATTGAAGCTAAATGCTTGTTTCTTCATATACTCAGTGCTGTTTTTATTGTCTTTTTCAGAATGATGTGAAAACTGCTTCTCCTGAAGACCTCGATGGCTCTGGGGATGATGAGGATTTTTCAGGCTCAGGTATGGAAAGTAAGCTATCCTCTGTGGCCTGTAACCGTGTCTGTGTTCTTTGGTCCTCTTAATAGAATCTATGGTGCATTTTAAGTGCAACTTGCTGACTAATGTGGCACTGTAAAGCAGGACAATGAAGACTTCTAAATTTACTGTCCAACTAATTTTGTAGCGCAGTGGTGGCCAGCTAGATACTGTGACCTCCCTAACTCACTGCTCATTATGTTTATAAGTAATGGTGCAGAAGCCCATTAGACTGGACACATGGCTGGAGATCATGACTTTTTCGGCCCCTTAAATTGCTACTTTTGTATTTAAAAAGCCTGAGGGAAAACACATTAAATAAGGGGGTGGCTAACAAAAAAGTAATACATGTGAATGAGAAACACCCTAATTTGACAGAAGCAAATCTATTGAATGGTTTTCCTTAACAGGCTCAAGTTTTGGCACCGCATGTAATATGGTAGGATGATCAGTCCTGCCCATGCAGTTTGTGGTAGAGTGAGACAGTTCTCCATGTTTTGTGGTGCTGCACTAGGTGTAAATGCATTAGAAAAGATACATCTGTTTTGTAACCATTTCATGAATACATTTTCCTAATTTTTTAGGTTTCTCGGTAGAAGATGATTCCGAAGACGGGGATGTCTTATCAACACCGGCCGCCCCTCTGGTCACCACAGTTACACAGTTGTCTACAGCCCCGAAGCTGGATGTTGCTATTGAAGAGAAAATTGAAGAAAATACTACACAACACACTCCAACTACCAAGCCACATGATCCCGTTGAGGATGTTTTTGCTTTCCATCCTGTTGGGAAAGAACCATTTGTGGAGAAAGGTACAACTATTGAACCTACGAGCCACCAGACATCTGTTGTAGAATCAGATACTGATGTAAAGAAACACCATCACCACCACCACCACCACCATCATCATCATACAATCAGGCCGGTTACATCCACTCCTGCCAAGTTTGATGTAATTGAGGAGACAACTGCTAGTCCTGTTGTAATTGAGGAGACAACTGCTAGTCCTGTTGTAATTGAGGAGACAACTGCTAGTCCTGTTGTAATTGAGGAGACAACTGCTAGTCCTGTTGTAATTGAGGAGACAACTGCTAGTCCTGTTGTAATTGAGGAGACAACTGCTAGTCCTGCTGAAGTTGAAAAGCTTTTTGTCACCCCTGAAGAAACTACCACAAGTACACCAGTTGAGGGTGACGTGGATGATCTAGTAGAAGTGATGCCAACACCTGAAGATTCAGGTGTCCAACATGTTGACCATCCAGAAACAACCTCTGGCTTAACTAGTACTTCATCTACACATGAAGAGACAACTGTAGATCTGGCAGATATTGCTGAAATTCCAGTCTTTGTAGACTCTGAGGAAAAGACTACGGTGGCAGATGAAGCTCATACTCATAAACCTCACCATCACCACCATCATAATCACACTACTACAGCTACTACTGCGGTCCCATTGGATTGGTTTGATGTTATTGAAACAGAAAAGCCAGATTATCCTGAGCCTGAAGATCAGGACCATCAAGGAGAAGCTACCACAACACCACCTAGTGAAGATAAGCATAATGACCATAAACATCACCACAAACACCACCATCATCATACAACTACACCAGAAGCCACCCAATCAACTGTCTCTGAGCAGCCTATAGTTCATACCCACGAACCAAAGGGTAGAAGGATCAACGTACCACCTGCAGAAAGCACAACTGAGATTTCAGTCATATCTGAAGAGGACGAACCTGTTGGCTCAACTGTGCAATATGTCCACCCTGTTAGCCCGACACAAGATGACGATGGCACTGATTCTTCAGAGGATGAATCGGGAGATGGATCAGTGGAAACCGATGTGAGTCTTGGGATTTTGTGTTTGAAGAAAGCTCTAACTTTTTTTTTTATGTTCTATGACACTGATCATATTAGAGAAATTATATATTGGATCATTCTAAAGTGAATATAAAAAAAAAAGACCCTCCAGTTGATAACCAAGGATTTAGACCGTGTAATTGAATCCTTGTTAATAGGTTTTTGTTATTTCTGCAGGACATTTTTTTTGAAGCCACAGTTCCACTTGATAAAAGTGACAGAATGGCCCCCGATGGCAGTTCAGGCGCCTCACATGGAATCATGGAAAGGAAGGAGCTTCTAGCAGGTAAGTGGAGAAAGTGTTGGCGGCATGCATGCAATACGCATAGCAATGGTCATATAATGCATCAAGAACTATTGTGCAACCCTTAACACCCCCCCCCATCTTTTTCTTATAGCACAAGTGAGCCTTCAGCTCCTAATACCTCAGCCTAATGCATTACTTTTCATTCCAGGTATCATTGCCGGAGGTATAGCAGGATTGGTGTTTGCTGCGTCCTTGGTGGCATTCGTGCTCTACAGGATGAAGAAGAAAGATGAAGGAAGCTACTCCTTGGAGGAGCCAAAACAATCAAACGGGGGATACCAGAAACCACGGGAACAGAGGGAGTTCTATGCATAGACGTCCATTGCTAAAGCCTTTTCACTTCAACTGCCCCAACGGCCTTGTCTACTTCCTTGATCTGCACCCACAGCTTTTCCTCTGGCCTTTGTACGGTACAGACTCCAATAGACATTTTATTAAAGCCAAAAGGTCCTAAAAAGTGGCTTCTGTACAACACCATGTGAATCCACCACAAGATAAAGGCCGTTTTCTGACCTGCTGCGCTCAAAAGACTGACTTGGACTGAGGTGAAAGGTTTCGACTTCAGATGCACCGAAGACAGACGAGTACAAATGCGTCCAACATTCTCTTTACCAAGAACTTGGCATCGGCGTTCGTTCGCTCTGCCACAACCAAATCGACTTTCAGACAGATTCCCCTGCCGCTATTTTATTTTTAAGCTAAAACGGTTATTCTGTTTTTAGTTTTGACCCCATAACAGCACTTACATTGTAAGCTTTTCTTTTATGAAACACTGGGCTGACTTGTCTGTAGCAACCAGATTGCAGCAGCCATTTTTGTATCTTGCACTGTATGGGCAACAGTTGCAATCTGATTGGCTATAAGCAGCACAAGCTCCTCCCATCCCACCAGTGATAAGTCAGACCAATTAAAACAAAGGTTCACATTTCCAATGACCCATATCTTGTGTAACAATGTGGCACTGTGCTCAGTGTCCATTCAATGCACCCATATCCAATCTTCAGGCTGTGCCAAGGGGTGTTTGTTAAAATTCATGCTGAAGCTTTAAACTGCCACACATTTATTCCTGGCTTTACACAGACTTGTGCACACTCAGTGGACTATTCAAGCAATAAGTTTTCCAATGTGCACCTTTTTTATTTTTATTTTCTCAACTGTTTAATCTATTGCACTACCCTGTCAACAGGTCCAAGTTCTTTTTGTTTTTATTTTTTAAATGTCTTGCTTTTAACAGATTTTGCTTGCTATAAACGCTGTGCAGGATTGTGATTTTTAGGTCGACACTTCCATCATTTTTTTTGTTTTTCTGTATTGAGTGCAGTGCCAACCTTTTTTGTATATTTTCTTCATGCCACGTGTATATTTGTGATGTAAAATTGGTACGACATGAGGGAAAGTGTAAGCGTGGGTTAGAGGGGTTTTTTTTTTTTTTTATACTAGCCAGTTTGTCCTGACCTGCTATCCTTCCTTTTTTTTATTTTTTTTTAGATGGTATTTATGCATGGAGAGGAGTTTGTGTCTAAAAAAAAAAATAATAATAATAAATTTATACATTGAAATGACATTTCAATATGACATTCCACTGTCTTGCATCTCCTAAAGGATTCCAACACAAATATCCCCATGCCTAACTTGCCATCTCTGGGATCTCAGTGAGACCCCTTTAGAAAGCTGGGGATTGAGGCACGAGTATGCGTTACACAAGTTGTATGTAGGGGATCTTACACATTTGGAGTTTTTGGTCATTACCGATTTAATTACTATTCCGTGCTACTTGTGTATCTCACTCCATAGGGACAGTTTGTTGGCAATGACCAAGGTTTTATTTTCTACTTTTTATTTCCTGTTGAGAAGATTAGCGACCAGCTTGTCAGGCTACTATAGGATTTTGCTATCTGCATTGTTACTCCCGGAATGTGTGCCGCATCGTACTTTTTCCTCACAAAGCGTTACGGCCCACCACGCAGTTGTAAATGGACAGCACAGTGCTTCGAAGTGGCTGTGTAGGTATACATTAGAAGGTTTACAGCAGGGCCCAAAGCGTGTTTTACTGGCTGATGTCATTTTTACCATTCCGGCTCTCTACACCAGCTTTACACTGGGAGTACATCATGTTACGTACATTGACATCAGAAATCCAACACCTGTCAATGCATTGCGCAGGTGTAAACTAGCACCATTTAAAGTATCTAACCTGTGGCATGCATTGATGTGTGCTGCAACACAAGTGTGAGTGGACTCTTAAGGTATGACACTTCTCCTACGGTTGGTCCTTTTTGAGGTGTGTAGATGGTCCTTTCAGGAAGGTGTGTATTGAATACCAGGCACTGTTTGGGGGCATCCTGGATGGACTTGAATAAGCCCCATTGATAACTCCCCCTCCCATGGTTTTAATGTAATCCTTCAGCAGACCGCTTTTACTCTGCTGGATGTTTTATATCTGTAAATAGGTTTAAAATGTTTTCGACTAGGATTGTTTTAATTCTTGCCTTATCCCTGATCGGACTTTTTGTATTCAGACGGTGGGACATAGAGTGGCTTCACCCACAACGAGCTGCTCTTACTCCCGAGTCCTCTGAATACAAGGGGCCATTTCATTAAAAAGGGCTTGTTGACTCAGGGACCGAAGGTGAGGAACCAGCAATAAAACGGTTAACTTGTAAACTGTGTAAATTGTATTTTTCAGTTAAAGTTTGATCTTTTTGTGCCTTTACAACTTTGCTACGACTTTATGCAACACACAGTTTTTGTCTTTTTTGTTCTTTCAGGATTGTAGCAATCTTTATGCTGACAAAATGTCAAGCAATGTGTTGTAAGGGTTTAATGTAATAAAAATGTAACTTGGAAAATTTGAATTGTCTTTTGTGTCTGAATTGAATGGTAAAGCTCAACTAAATGGACAAAAAGAAATTATATATAATTTAAAAAAAATATATCTATATATATTTCTCTCTCTCAACTGCTGCAGTTTCTTACATTTGCCAGTCTCTACCCCACCCCTGGACTGGCCACACTGTACCTGTACTATTTGCATTAAAAATAAACATACATTATTGGATTACAAAATACAGAGCTGCATCATGCAGTCCCACTGGCTTCAATACGGTCCAAGTCCATGCTCTGCAGAAGGGCTAGAAAATGGCTCCCGGTTTCTTTTGTGAGTAGGTTCCTTTTTTAAAGGGCATTTATCATGTTCAACATCGGATCGTGGATGTTCCCAACCACTGCCCAAACCCCTCCCCCATCCCATCCTTGCTTCACTAAGCTGGGAGTTGATGGAATGCTTTCTTTGGGTCAGCGACTCGCTAGTTATTTAAAAAACCGCTGGGCTTCCTTTTCAATTACACCTTCTCCCACAGCAATTATGCTGCTCTACCACTGCGTATCAGTAAGACTTCACAGGAGGTCCAAAGTGCCATGTACGTAGATATGTGGTGTTCAGACTCACCGTGGGCCTTGTTTTTTCGTTTGACCTATGGTCAGTTTGAGGTCTGAACATAAAGTAGTGCAAGGCTAAAAGACATGTGACCAGGCTATAGAGATTAAACTATTTTATATTTCAGAACAAGCCGTAAATCTTTAACATAGGCCCTCACCTGAGGATGAATTGCTCCACAGCACCTGCAGCTAGTTAATGATCAAAGTGGTGAAGCTGTTCAAGTCCAGACAGCGCTTTGCTCTCCCTGTACAACAGCTTTGTATTTATATTTGAGATTAAAAGCGTGACAGTAGGCCAACTCGCTGCAGGCAGGGGGCAGCTGAGCTACTGTCTGTTACAGACTAAAGATTAATTGTTTTACAATGGCTGCAGCTACAAAGGTTAATGAGGGACTCTTTTAAGGCGTATAGAATGCCCTGCCCTGGCTGCAGTTCTGTTTTCAGCAGCAATAAACAGAACTGCTGCTTTTTGAGTAATTTCAAACACTGCATTCTAGATCCATGCTTGAATTTGCGGTCCGAAGCAAAACGCAAACCTAGTGGACTGTTGACCTGCAGCCTAAAAATCGTATCGTTTGTTTTTTAGGTTTTTGGGTAGAGTAAGGAATGGTGAAGACCGCTGTCAGATTTATTTATTATTCAGGCTGCCTGTGTCCCACCAGGTTTCCACTCACCTGAGTTCTATAATTGCAGCAAGATGGATGAAGAAAGCTCTCCAAATGGCGGGTGAAATCCATTCTTGGACAGTTGTGATTTAAAAACCGGTTCCCCCATCGGAAGATTTCCTCTCGCCTTCTGTTCCTTTTGCCAACTATAAACATTTGGATCTCCCATGGCTTTCTTCACCAGAGACTATGGTCATCAGGACAAATGGGCTGAATTTCCCCACAGGGGTCACAAATTGCAATAAAAACCTGACTGGTGTGTCATAACTTCCTCCATTCTGTCCAAAACATTAAAATGCTTTGTGCACCTGAATATGGAAGTTTCTTTTTTTTTTTTTACCAGTAGTGTAATCTGGATTTATCTTTTGATCATGCATTTATTTCTCTGCTCCCTTTTGTCATTCTTTGCTCTGCAAGTTGAGCCACCCAGGACAATCTGTACACGGGGAGTCCTCTGTTATTTTTGGGCAAAGCTGCTAAAATCTCCATGAAGACATGGTTTTACCAGCTTGGTGTGGAGAATCCTTGGGTGACCTGCACAGAGCCCTGACCTTGACCCTACTGAACATTGAACACTGTTGGGCAGCCAGGTCTTCTCATCCAGCATAAGTGCCTGACCTTAGAAAAGTTCCTTTTGGCTGGCTGGACACAAGTTCCAACAGACAAAGTTGTGGAAAGACTTCTGAAGAGTGGGGACTGTTAAATCTGCAAAGTGGGAGGTGTGTGGGGCATATTAATGCCCATGGTTTAGGGCATGGGATGTTCAACAAGCGCATGTGGCCAGGTATCCACAAACATTTGGCTTGTATGTATGGTAGCATCCGCTACCCTCTACTTATAAATAGGAATGGTCCACCAAGCTATGCCTTTGTGTCTAATGGACATTCTTGAGATACAGTGCCAGTCCCAGGTGATATCCAATTATTAGAGTCGCCCTATCCATGCTAAAGAGGCTGGATAGTTGAAGCAAGATGTTTTTTTTTAAACCCTTAACTGAGATAGCTAGAACTAGCTCCTGGGGGAGTCTATTCCACATTTTTGCAGCTCTAACTGTGAAGAATCCTTTCCGTAAGCAAAGGTTAAACATCTTTTCCTCCATATATATATTAGCCAATCAGCAGGCACTGCAACTGATCTTTCTCCACCTGGGTCCTTTGACAAAAGTCAAATTAAAAACCAATGAGGCGATGCCAACAGGATCACCCACCGTTTGAAATCTAGCTGATTTGGCAGAAGTCGCCCGAAATTTGAGCTCTGGGTGGCCAGCTGAAGGGCACCTAGACATTGGGTCATTTGTCAGTGGTGTTTGTCATAAGGCATGGTGGCCATTTTCAGATTGGTCATCTCTTATAAACAACAGTATTACAAAGTGTAGCAGTCCATATTTGACACTAACGGAAGGTAGATGTCTAATCTTTCATTACAAATAAAAGGAAAAAGTCTGCATACAAGT